AGCAAAACTGCCTCCCCTCCGCCCTCGATAAACGCTCAAACCCGACATAATCACCTTAAGCCTTCCCAAACCCCCGCAAAAAGAGCCCTAAACCCTCAACCCTAAACCCTAAACCCTCAACCCTAAACCCTAAACCCTAAACCCTAAACCCTCAACCCTCAACCCTCAACCCTTGTCCTGGCCGTCGCTGACCAGGGTGAGTCCAAGCTTCTGGCCAGTTTTGCTGATGCTGACGACCCACTGCAGCGCGGGGCGAGCTCTCGAACCGTCCCTAGCTGCCTAAACACCTAAACTCTAAACCTAAAGCCCTGAGCGTCAACGCCTTAAACCCTGAACTGTACATTACATCCCGAAACCCCCTAAGTTCAAAACCTAGGGTTCAGGGTTTGGGGTTTAGGGTTCTCGGCGGCTTAGGATATACGGTTTAGGTACACCCCGAAACAGACCCTTCGGGAGTCTCAGTTCGGGTTCCGAGTCGGGTTCTTGGGGTGGGGGAAGGCCCTAAACCCTAAACCCTTCAGGGCATCCTCCACCACCCCCCGACCCTGCAAAGTGTCATCCTTAGTTGAGGGCGGTGTGGTGCTACTTTTTGGGTTGGGGGGAGTCCTAAATCCTCTACTTGGAGGTTCATCAACCAATTATAACTGTACATGTAGCTGTACTTAGAACCATTGTTGGGCACTTAAGGGGCTTAGAAGTGGCTTGTAAGTACGGTTATAATTGGCTGATATAAGTACTATGAACCTCCAAGTACACCCTTAGGCAGCACAAGATCCCGCAAAGGCTGCTCGGGGCCTCCTTTGGAGGGTCTGCAAAAGGCCCATTGGGAATGTCAGCACCTTTCAAATTAGGGGTTAGGGTTTAGGGTTTAGGGTTTATAGGGTTTAGGGTCAGGGCGTTTAGGGTTTGGGGCGGAGGCCGCGTGAATGATGGCTAGTGAGTACATGGGATAGTTATTTGGGTACCCCAACTCCCAAAGTAGATTCCCTTTGTGACTGTGATACAATGACTTGTTTGACTGAAGGACACGGATTTCGAGGGCATCTGTTTCGGAGTGTCCCCTGCCCCTCTTCAGGGCAACCACTGCTTCCAACCGAAAATGACATCAATTGCATGTTTCAGCATCTGGGCTGCAAGTCTCCTGTCGTTCTGCAGATCAAGAGTTACCCAACACAAACTAACTTCTGTCCTGACTCTCACGAATCTCGGGGGTCAATCATGCGACTATTTCGGGGGTCCATCTTTTGTATGGTCATGCCCTCCTCGACCATTCCCTACCAGCAGCATTCCTAACCAAACTACAGTTCAACCCTTAGACCAGTAGAACCTCCTGAAACCCCAAACATAGAAACCCCAAACCCCAAACCCCAAACCCCAAACCCCAAACCCTAAAGCCTAAAGCCTAAAGCCTAAAGCCTAAACGAACACGTGGGCAGCCCCTCCACTTGGCGGCCAAAGCACGCTTCCTGATGTCCTCGAGGGTGTAGTCCTTCGCAGAGTTGCCATGTATTCCAGCGCGGCATGTGCCCACTCGATAGGTTCAGGGTTTAGGGTTTAGGGTTTAGGGTTTAGGGTTTAGGGTTTGGGGTTTAGGGTTTAGGGTGAAGGGTTAAGGGTTTAGGGCTAGGCGGGGCCATAACAGACCCACGCGTTTTCGGCAGTTTAGCTCTGTTGCCCTCAGAATCCCCTGCAAATACCGATGTTTCCTGGGTTTCGCCCATCACCTCATCCCCGCAATTTTCATCCAAAATTATCCAACAATTTTTTGGGCATCCGTAGACTGCACTGGTATTTGTGGGTTTTTTTGCACTACTTCGCACTTTCGACGTGTCCTAAACTAAGCCCTGTCTTGCTTGCATCCGCTTCTGCCCAGCCCTGGGTCAAAATAACACGTTTGCTTCACCATAGTTAGAAGAGAGCATCCATGGCCCAACCATGATGACGTCCATAGTCTAATCCGTTCTGGGAAGAGAGTATCCATGGCCCAAACATGATGACGTCCATGGTCTACTCTGTTCTGATGAGAAGAGAGCATCCATGGCCCAAGCATGATGACGTCCATGGTCTACATGTTTTCTGCACTGCCATGGCCCAACCATGATGACGTCCATGGTCTACTCCGTTCTGGGAAGAGAGCATCCAGGGTCCAAGCATGATGACGTCCATGGTCTATTCTGCTCTGATGAGAAGAGAGCATCCATGGCCCAAGCATGATGACGTCCATGGTTTACATCGTCTAATCCGTTCCGGAAAGGTTAAACCTTCTTCTGGGCAGAAATGGCTGGAAGTTCTTGCTTTTAGGCGCACTGGGGAGCAGAAAGGCGTCATTTCTCAACACTAAAGGCGGTGACCTAAGTCCTGCATCTCAGGTTTGCTGGTGGGGCCACAGTTTTGCGCGGGTCTGTTGTGGACCCGCCAGGGTTTAGGGTTTCGGGTTTAGGGTACTCTGCAAACTTGCTAGACTAAAGAAACAAGACGATGACCTGCAAGTACGTAGCCGCAGGCCCGCCTTGAGCAGGGCGCCGTTGCGGAAAACCTGTCATGCAGAATTCGCTCAGAGGATTTCCGCGAGGGAGTGCCCAGCAATGAGGTCTCTAAGTTGTCATTCAGTGAACCTGAAATGCAGCACAGAACGACCCTTATGTAATCCCCTCTCCTAATATTAAACCCACCCTACCCCCGAATATTGAATACCCCCCATTGCAGTTTTGTTATTATAGTATATTGGGGGATTTTAATATTAGGGGGTAGGGAGGGGGTTAAATATTAGGGAGAGGGGATTAGGGAGGATCAAGCACACGCCCAGGCGCCGCCACCATCAAGTCCTTGTCGGGATCTCCCTTGCTGCTGGCTACGGTGACCTCAGGTGGGGACTTCTTTAGGGTTTAGGCTTCAAGGCGGCTGGGGTTTAGGTTTAGGGTTTAGGGTTTAGGGTTTAGGGTTTAGGGTTTAGGGTTTAGGGTTTAGGGTTTAGGGTTTAGAGTTTGGGGTTTGGGGTTTGGGGTTTAGGGTTTAGGGTTTAGGGTTTCGGCTTCAAGGCGGCATCTCCGTTCCTTACTGGTTCTTTCGAGGAAATTAGGTACCGTATATGGCTCCTTAAAGGGCTGTTGAGCTGCGCTACCGAGTTACCCAATACCACTGCCCACCTTCAGGCAATGGCAGCTGAACCCTAGAACCCGAAAACCCTAAAAACCCTAAAACCCTAAAAACCCTAAAACACTAAAAACCCTAAACCCCTAAAACCCTAAAACCCTAAAACCCTAACAATTCGCTTCCCCCCCCCCCCCCCCCCCTCCCTCCAAAATGGGTCCCTGTGTCACCTTCTGGGCGCCTCAATCTCGAACCTTGGAAAGCCCGGTGGAATCTTTGAAGCTCCTAAACCCAAACCGCCCAAGCCCTCAGGCTTAAACCCATAGTATAGTAACCCTCAAGCCCTCACCTCCTGTAAAGCCACAAACCCTTCAAGCCCTAAACCCTAAACCGCCCTGAAGACGGACCTGAAGCAGAACTGAAAAGCGTTTGGGGTTTAGGGTTTGGGGGGGGTTTAGGTGTTAAGGTTGAGGGTTTTGGGTTCAGGGCTATTGGTATTCTTTTGGTTTGTTGACTGATAAACAGAAGCTACTGGAATTCCTAAGGAAATTCGAGCTGCACCCAAACCAATTTTTCAGGGAACAGGGTTTGAGGCATGTAGGGTGCAGAGGGTTCCAGGGGTTTCCGGCTTACAAGGGGCTCAGCGGCTTGAAATGTAGCTCAATAACCCTCCCTAAACCCTAAACCCTAAACCCTAAACCCCCAGGTCCCCCACATACTTGCCATCCGTGCTGTAGTGGAGGAAGCCGGTTCCGCCCGCGGTGCCTTTCTCTCCCTGGCCTGGCGACTCCATGCACAAAGAGGACTTCAGAGGTTCAGGGTTTAGGATTTGGGGTTTTGAAGCATTCAGGGTTTAGGGTTTAGGGTTTAGGGCTTAGGGTTTCGGCACAGGCGGTGAGGTTGTTCTGGTTGAGGGCCCGCACCCGCGTTCCTTATAGGTACCATTGTTTGGACTGCCACTTCTTAGGGCCGACTTGATCACACACTAAAAGCTCTCGCTCCTCCGAATATTACCTAGGATGGGCCTTAAAACTGTCTGAAACATATTCCTGGATATGATCCTCTTGAACCCGTTGCACAGGTTTAGGGTTTACCTGGGACCCTCTTCACCTACAAACTAGTAGTAACTACCCTTAATTAGCAGGTAGAACCCATCAAACTGTAACGTAGGGGTCGGAATAATTGCTAGTAGTCTTCTCTTATGGTCCCTCTGTATTTATACTAAAACAACTCCGAAAACCGCATTCTTTTTTTCAGGCCCCTATAGTAGGTAAAGAGGGTCCCAGGTGGAGTTTGGACATCAAAAAACTAGTTGCCCGAGGTGCTTGTTCACGAACGGACACTTGCACTCGCCATGTGGATGGCCGTTGACAGGTTGACGTGTAATATAGTGGCATGAATAATTAGAATAAGGTTATGGGGGGCTATTATCGTATATTCATGAAGGGACCATAGGGGAATATGAGTAATTATTCCGACCCCTATAGTGGAAGATGCGTGTCTGAGGAATATATGACATTATGCAATTGCAGCCAACCCTCAGCGCTACTCACTGAAGCCTCCTGAATCCTACACCCTGAACTCCTGAACGTATCCCCACCAACCTTTAAAGGCTCCCGGCAAAGGCTGCTATCGCTGGCTCGCTACACCTGCCAGTACTTCCTTATACTTGCATTGCTACAACGACTACTCTGTTCGCACACTGCCATTACTCATGTCCCAGTGCCGCAGTCGGCGTGAGACAAGCGCCACGCATGCTACGCCTGCGCGCTCAGCATGCGGTCTTTCCTAGGATGGCCCTTAGAACCCTCTGACAAAAATTCCTGAATATGATCCTCTTATTAAACCCAATAAGGGCAAAAATGTCCCAAGGGCTTACCTAGTTTCCGATACCTCCTGCCGTGATTGAATCAGAGCTTCGGGCTCAGTGTGGCAGCTACCAGCCCATGGTCGCTGGGAAACTCGAGCGAGGGAAAGCACACGCCTTCCATGTACTCCCCGTGGCCCGTGTTGTCCTTTATCACCTTGACAAGATCGAATGCCTGCCGGCTGAAGATGATGTGGTCCTTGGGGTTGACGTCACCCATCTCCAGCTTTTTTGCACTAGGACAGCCCTTGTTCAGCTGCGGCTGTAGGAAGGTGCGCGCGTGGCAGGTGGTGAGGCACTTGGCCATATCCACACCCTCAGGCCAGCAGCTGTTCAGCCCACAACTTTGGCACTCCTGCAGAAAGTCCTTCACGCCGTAGTGTGTCGCACTGCCTCGTAGGTAGGTGTTTGCATCCAGGCCAAGCAACAAGAAGTCTTGCGACAGGACTCGCACCAGAGCCCTAAGCACAGGAGCGGTCGCCTTACCATTGGTGTCTCCATGGAAGGAAGCCAAGACAAAGCGTCGGCCAGAACTATGCACTGCACGCACTGCAATAAGATCACCGACCTCGACGTGTGTACTGCCCTCGACTGCGCCCACAGCATCACTGGTGATCTCCTGGTAGCCCTGGCAGAACGCAGCCCGGCTCAGCAGCAGAGCAGAATTTTGATCCCTTTGGGCGTCCAGCTTCTCTGGAATCACGACGTGATGCGTCTGGGCCAGACAGCTGCTCTGCAGTTTGTGCAAGTAGGCTGCCGATGCCTCCTGCAGGCAAATCACGGAGCACCCCTTGTAACGTTCAAGGATCCTGGTGGTGCGGGTTTCTTTCTCGCGAAAGGTGGCGTTGCAAATGGAGTCCTTGATCTGCAGCCAGTGGCATTTTGGGGACAGGCGATTCAACATGTGTACAAGGATGGCGTCGAAGATCGCAAGGCATAAGCACTGGAGTGGCACCGAGATGGCCTCCTCTTCTTCTGTGATGGCTGGATACTTGGCCTTCTTGATTTTTGACAACATCTCACATGGCCGCATCTTCTTCATGCTCCCATCCTTGCCAGTTCGGATCTCAAGAGCCTGCTTGAACATAAACTTCTTCCAGTGCTTCCACCATTCAGCCACCGAAGTTAAGCTATCCACGCTGTGATTAATTACCGTCGGTCGAAAGGCGGCCTCTCCTGAGGCCACATTGATGGTATTGGTGAGGCGATCCGGCATGGAACAGAGGCGCTTCTCCCCGAGCTCCTTCGCCTTCAGCACGCCCGACATGATCTTCCTCTTTGAGAAGTCCGACTCCCAAAGCGATGTGACCTTCTCAAGGCCTTGCCATCCCTCCTCCTCCATAAGGCCACGCAGCTCCTCGAAGAACGCCACCGGAAAGACCTCTGAAACGGGAACATCGCCGTCGCCGGGCGTGTCGATGAAGCGCTCCACTTGTCCCATGAGCTCGTTGTAGGCGGCGTCGGAGTGGCTGAGCCAATATTCAAAGGGGTTGTTGTTGACAGCGGCGACGTTCCATGTGGCGGCTTCGAATGAGTGCGCAGCTGCCCGCGGGCTGCGGCTACGGCTGCGCTCCATGGCTTGGGGAGTCAGATGCTAGCTACTTGAACAGTATCCACTCTGTCTCTCTCTACATATATATATATATATGTGTTTGCGCACATACACGTGTGTGAAAGATAAGCAAACACCAGGTAGTTTGCGCTACAAATACTTTGGATGTTGAAGTCGAAGTTGATGGAATAATGTTGGTCAATGTTTCATTGGCTCTCATCATGTCTCTTCTCAGACCCAACCAAGCGGCCATAGTTTAGCTAAGTGACCATCCAAGTTGCTTTGCATGCGGGTTCCAGAGTTTGGGGGTTGCAGGGGTGCTCCAAATCGGCTTCTGGAAAGCTCGTAGCCCCAAACCCAAACGCCTCAAACCTTCAAACCGCAGCTTGTGTGCAAGGCAAAACCAGCCCATGCGGCGTGGCTTGTACTTGTCTGCGTCCTTGAAACCTTTGGTCTCGGAGGCCAGCCTCGTTGAGGATTTGGGTACTCGAGGTTAACCGCTTTGGCACTGTTGACGATAAAGGGGTGTTTGTACTAGCCCCCAGAAACGGTTGAACCGCGTCATGTGCAGAGTGTATCCGCAGTGTCAGCCGAAAAAGGTTAAAGCGTGCCCTGTGCAAAGTCCTGGGTTTCTAAGGGTTTAGGGTTTAGGGTATAGGGTTTAGAGTTTAGGGTTTAGGCTTCAGGGTTCCCATGGTTGTTGAGGATTCCGTGGGTTTACGCGTGGACGTGGAAGACAGCGGGCGCAGGAGGTTTGAACAAATCAACAGTCGGGCTCATCCGAAGTGTCAAGGTCATCTCATGCAGGAGCCCCAAAAGAACCTACCAATCCCAGCTGAGGCCTAATTAAGGTATAGACTGCCTCCTGAACCCACTCGAGGTTTTGAGAGCTGCTTGGCCAAGTTCTTGGAGTTGTACCCTAAACCCTAAACCCTAAACCCTAAACCCTGATCCCTAAACCCTAAACCCTAAACCCTAAACCCTAAACCCTAAACCCTAAACCATATACTTTTTAGGGATAAGCAGCTATCATAGGAACCCTGAACCAAAAAAAGTATTGAAGTCTAGAGCTCCAAAACCCAGGTTGATCAATTTCGGGGAAATGATTGAAGGTCCCTGTGCGTGAAGAAAAAGGACGTATGGGGTAGTTTTTGGTGAACATAATGACTGCCATATAGGGCTCGGAACCTAGGGTTGGGGTGTCGCTGGAAACTTTGGGGGGGGGGGGGGGCCTTAGGGGAACGGACTCAAATGGAAGGCTGACTCCTAGCTCTTTCCCTCAGCTCGTGCAGCTGGAGCCCTGCTAGGTTGTCCAGAAACCTAGGATTCATTTGTTTGTTGCTTAGAGGGATTTATAAGGGAACCTAAACCCCTCAAACAAGGGAATAAGGGTACTACTGGGCATCCTAGCCTCTAAACCCCACGGCCCCTGCTCTGGAAGTAGGTCTGCGGCTGAAGGGCCCGATGCTGAAAAAAAAATGCCCCCTGCACTTTAAACGGCCCTAAGCCCTGAACCCTAAATCCTCAACCCTAAGCCCTAGCCAGTAAGACCTAAACTCTAAACCCTAAGACTTAAAACCCCTGACCCCATATGAACCCCAAGAAGGCCAAGCAAGAACCTAAATCCAAAAGCCTACAGGCCCCCTTAAACAAAAATACCCTGAACCCTGAACCAACCTAGACCCAGAACCCTACATAACCCTAAACTCTAAACCCCTAAACCGTTAAACCGCTGAACCCATGAACCCCAAACCCCTAAACCCTAAATCCCTCAATATCCTTAAACCCTAAACCCCCCAAAATAACCCGAAACCCCAAAATCCTAAACCTTAAAACCCTAAACCCCAAACCCCAAACCCTAAACCTAAACCCCCACACCCTTTGAACCCTAAACCCTAAACCCTAAACCCTAAACCCTAAACCCTAAACCCTAAACCCTAAACCCTAAACCTGCAGCCGAGGTTGCTGGACCGTCAGTCGGCCCTTCTTGGAGGCCTTGCCCTTGTCGGTGATGGGATCCTGATTTGCTTGTTTGTTTAGGGTTTAGGGTTTAGGGTTTAGGGTTTAGGGTTTAGGGTTTAGGGTTTAGGGTTTAGGGTTTAGGGTTTAGGGTTTAGGGTTTAGGGTTTAGGGTTTAAGGCTTAGGGTTTAGGGTTTAGGGTTTGGGGTTTAGGGTTTGGGGTTTGGGGTGTGGGGTTTGGGGTTTGGGGTTTAGGGTTCAGGGTAACAATCCCGTGCATTTTTGAGGGGTCTTTCTGCCCCTGTTAGGCTTAAGGGCCTCAAGTGGTGATTGATTGCGCTTAAACCCCTCTGAAAAATATTCCTGAATATGATCCGCTTAATAAAGCCCAATAAGGGAAAATGTCTAACATCCCAAAGGCCTACCCAGTTAAGGACCCCAACTTGGAGAAGTACCAACCCTAAACCCTACGCCCTAAACCCTAAACCCTAAACCCTAAACCCTAAACCCTAAACCCTAAACCCTGCTTGGGATGGGGGGGTGCGGAGTCGGTTGGTTAAAAACCCAGGTTCTGAACATAAACGCAATGTGGGGGGGGGGGGGGTTTACGATAATAAGGGGACCCCCAACATAGACCCCCAAAGAATAGGATCCTTATAAAGAGGACCCCCTATAAGGTACCCCGAATATCATAAACCCCCCATTTTAGGGTACGTTCAGACCTACTTTCTCCCTGAATCTTAAGCCCTAATTACGCCCTAAACCCTGCCTACTTGCTCAGGGCTCGTTGAGAGCCCAATGTGAATGCGGTCACTGTCACAAAACACCCTCTCTCAAACTCGATTCTTCACGGCAAAGGCTGGGGGGTCTGGCCTAAGCCCTTCAAAGTCCTAAAGCCTAAACCCTAAACCCCAAAGCATCCTCACACCATTACCAGGAGGCAAGGTTGAAGGGGAACCCCGCAAGCCACCGGGCTTCAACCCCTTAGCTCCTTCTCCAAATTACCCGAAAGAAACTCGCGGAGCCTCAAAGCCCTAGACTCTAAACCCGAGACCCTAACCCCTGTAAGTGTCCTTGAACACTCACGGATCTCGCCATTCACCGTGATCTCGGAGCACTTGAAGGCGCCTAAGACACGGCAGCGTTCAATTGCCCCTGATTAACGCAAGAAACCTAAACATCTTGTTGAGCCTACAAAGGCCGAAACGCATAAAGAGAATTGCTTTAACTCCAAAAGCACCTCAAAAAAACCCAGCCGTGAAAATTGAAGGTGTCTCGGTTCAGTTTCTGAAGGAGAGCACCGCCGCTTCCGAAGACCATGTTGTCTGCAGCCTGATCCACTTTAGAAGCTCATAGTTGCGCTACCCTAACCCTATAAACCCTGCTTTAGGGAGTTTCGGGGGTGGGGGAGGGGGGGGGGGCTTTTAGTGGGGTTGAGGGAGGGAGTGCAGTTGAGCTTCGCCTAGTTTCGGCAGTTCGGGAATTCTGAGAGGTCTAGGGTTACAGGGATGTAGGCAGCTTAGGGAGCTCAGGGCTGAGGGGTTTAGGGTTCCAGGGGCTTAGGCAGCTTAGGGAGTTCAGGGCTAAGGGGTTTAGGGGTTTAGAGGATTAGGGTATAGGGTTTAGGGTGGCTTCTGGGCACATAGGTTTTCCTAGTAACCTGCCAGCGGCCAACCCTCGAAGTCTATGGAAGGCAAGCGGCGTAGCCAGCACTCTTCAAGGACTTCCTCAGCACATACTTTTTGTTTATCCATTTTTTTTTTCCTTTATTGTGTTTTATGTTTTTCCCGTTTTACATTTATTCACTATTTTTTTGGGGGGGGGGGGGGGGGGGGGGGGGGGGGGGGGGGTAGGGGGTTTAGGGATCTGGAGTTCAGGGTCTTGGGAACTTAAGGGGCCTAGGACTAAGCGTGAGTTCTTCCAGCAAGGGCCTTACAATCAATTCACTGCAGGCAGTATACGAGAAACGTCCAGATACGTGAAGTACTTGCAATCTGTCTACGGCACGTATAATGTCATGACAACCTGGAATGCGATTTCAAAGGCCTCGGAACTGTAAGATGTATGACGCAGCGCAACCGGTAGTCGGAACAGAGCGGATGCATTGTACTGTATATTCAAGTCCTTTACATGTTTTTGCGTAAAGCCCCCTCAACTATTCACACTTGTTCAGTTCCCTGCATTGTGGTTCCTTTTGGGGGTTTCTAGATTCTAAAGTGAAACCCCACATCCAAGCCCTAAACCCTAAACCCTAAACCCAAAACCCTAAACCCTAAACCCTAAACCCAAGAACACAAGAAGGGACCACCACGTAGCGAACTGCCCACATGGAACCCACCTGGGAGCAGCTGGGGCCCAGACAGGATCTTCGGGACGGACTCGTAGTCGACGCCTTCGGGAAACTCGGGTTGAGGGTTTAGGGTTTAGGGTTTAGGGTTTAGGGGTTTAGGGTTTAGGGGTTTAGGGGTTCAGGGGTTTAGGGTGTAAGGTCTAGGGGGTTTAAGGTTTAGGTGTTGAGGGTGTTCAGGGCCTCTAGTTGCATCTGAAATTCGGCACTTAGGCATTCGCAACTGTAGGGTCTCGGGTTTGGGGATAGCGGGTGAGATTCTGGCACCCCCAGCCCTGAACCCCAAACCCCAAACCCCAAACCCTAAACCCCAAACCCTAAGCCCTAAACCCCAAACCCCAAACCCCATACCCCAACCAAGGCTGAGGGCCTCTTGCTGGCATTCGATTTGAAGGAGATTCGCAGTCAATCCGGAACATACCCTGGTAGGTGTTTCCTGGTTGCTGAGTATCCTGGGCCAGAAAAGGTAAACCTGCAAATTCTGGCAGGGTTCTTAGGGCTTAGGCCTTAGGGCTTAGGGATTAGGGTTTAGGATTTCCCCGAATGGTTAAAGGCAGCCTACTCAGATACTAAGGTTTGAGGCTCCGACCATCACCCTGAATCACGCGGATGTACGCCGGCAGCAGCTTGTGTCCCGTCTTCGTGGTGGTCACCTCAACTTTGGGGCTTCGGCTTTCAGGGTTTAGGGCGGACCATGGGTCAGGGTTTAGGGTTTAG